CCGGTTCTGAACCTCATACCGCACCACCCAGTTGGTGACGCGGCCAAGGGCCCCGCCATCCTGGACTGCCCCCCGGCCTGCCTTCAGAACGTCAGTCATGAAGGACTGCACGCGCTTGTGGGTGATGAATGCGTTCTCAGCTGGGGCGTCTTGCCATGTGAAGCCAGCACAGAAGCTGCAAGCAAAAGACAACAGCACAGCACAGCCAGAGCAGTGCATTGATGGGTGATGGGTGACTGCTTTCCATGCTGGGCAGGGACAGGAGGCAGACGGCACCATTCAAGGAAGCTTGCCAAGTGATGCAGATTAAAATGTGTGCAACTTACTCCTGCAGCTTTTGCTCCAGCGATTGGACTTCGGGCCAGCGTGTGGCAGACACTTCATCGGTTATAAGCTTGAGGAAGAATGACGGCATGCCAAAGCAGTCCACCATGCACAGCAAGTCTTGGAGGTTGCTGCGGTGCCATGCAGGCGTGTTGGGCAACGTTGCCGGCAGCTTGTGCTTGAGAATGTGACAGATGGCATCCTCATCGCTTGCGTTGGGGTTCCGGGACTTGTAGTCGAGGAGCGCCCTCTCAAGCACAGCCTGTACATGCAGGTGGGCATGATGGTCATGTCTTGAGGTTGTACATGCATGATGTTGCTCGGAACCTGCAAATTGTAGCAGCTGGGCAGAATCCGTGTCCAACAACCCAGCATGCATCATGTGCAGTACACCAGCATCTATGCTATGCACTCACCTCTGTATTCTGCTCTTGCAGCCGGGCACTCTGGTGAAGCACATACATGAGCAGCAAGTATGGCTTGCACAATGTCCACACACTGAAGAGGCACTTGGCACAGTATGCTAAGTACTTGACCAAGGTCGTGCCGCCCATAAATGCGCCAACACCAAAGGGAAACAGATAGGGGAACATGGCCATCTCCGCAGACAAGCCAAACTGATAGTCCAGTGGGGTCCCGTCCGCGGACACAGCCAGGTTGAGTTCGGGTAGAGTGGGCGCTCATGGAACCAATGTTCCCGCAGTGTACATCACGGGTGCATGCTTTGTGGCTGCACGCTGGATGGCAGGCACCACCACCGATATGAGTGAGCGAGCTGCCTCTGCTGCTTCCAGGGTGGCCAGCGCAAGAGGTTTGCAGGCTTGCTCACTGGCGACAAATGATTGCACATCAGCTGGACAAAGGTATGGCAATGGGTGATTGGGCGGGACTTGTTCAGCAACGGTGAGGAACTCCCTGACGAGCGGGTTGTGCTGCACACTCCATCCCAGCACCTCCTGCAGTGCCGGGGGCAGCATGTTGACGCGGCGCGTGGAGTCGCGTGCCCAATCCAAGACCAGTGCCTCCATGCAATGCTGCTGCCGAAGCTTGCCAGCAACAAATCCAAAGGCTGCTGAAAAAAAGCCAAGTCCAACATCCACCAGGCCTATCCGAAGTTGGTCGATGGCGTCCAAGGACATGATGGCCTTGGTATAGTCAGGTGGATGGAAGACCAGATACTCTGCTCGCTCATTGCCACTGTTCGCTGGATGCAATGGAGCACAGTGCGGACACAGGTGCCACAGGCCTTCAGGTGTGGTTGTGCTGCCAGCATGCAAGCTGTTGTGGAATGAGTATGGCGCAATGCCAGCACCGACAGGTTCCACAGTGGCCCAGCGCTTGAGGTCATCATGCAGGTCGGTGCTGGTGACACCGCACATGGCGCACACCACAAGTGCACCGGCTAGCAGCATGCTTGTGACAGCACTCCAAGCCGTCAGCCGGTCAGAGATGCCAAGTCTGTGGCCGGGGCCACTGCGCCAGGATGCTCCGAAGTACCCAGGAATGTGTTGCTCGGCATCTGTTACAGCAGGACTGGGCAATGATACGTCATATGGTCGACGGTGCTGCGGGTTGTGCTGCTGTGGCTGGTGATGCTGCTGACGCCTCTGCTGCTGGTCCTGCTCCTGGCGCTCCTGAGGGGGCTGCTGCTGCAGCGGTAAGTGCTGTGATGACTGCCGTGTCACCGCAAGCAGCCGCCGCATGACAACCGCAGGTTCGTGCTGATCAGCCTATTCCGCCAAGACCTGCTGCACAATGAACTCAAAGCGGCTGTCCATCGCATGCAGGACAGCACACACTTGACCAGCCTGCTCGGCTGACGGTGTTTCTGACATGCAGAGTCCAACCGCTCGACAAGCTGCGACGAGATGCTGGCGGCGTTGCCCTGTCCACACACCCGGCAGCATATCCAGCAGGCAGTAAGACATGGGGGTGCCAGCGAGGCCTGTCTGCCGGATGAGGCACACTTCTGTTGGCGCTGTGCTGGAGCCCCAATAGCAGATCTGCAGCCCATCCGGGTCAAACACTGTGATCGCTATGTTGAGAGTATGGGCAAGAACTGCCAGCTCCACATCGCCTGGCAGCAGCCGTTGCTGCTGTAGGGCTTCGCCATATTGCGCCGCCATGCAAGAGCTGGGGAGGCTGCTTGCATGGGCATGTAGCACTTGAAAGCGCATCGAATCCCAAGACTCGGCAATGGCGCCCACCACGGTCGCCAGCAGAATTTCAGGCGCAGGCACATCAGTGGCACACGCGGCAATGAGAGCGTGACGCACGCAGTCCAAACACGTTGCGTGGGCATCGAGCGGCACGACAGCACAGTTGCTAATGTCGCTGTGAGCATATAGGGGCACTCAGAGTTGGCCTGCATAGGAAGCATCAGCAGTGTGCCCCGTTATCAAGATGATGCGTGTAGCTGTGAGCAGTGCCTTCAGAACAGGCCTAACTATATTTCTGCGAAGTACATCATAGCCTGTCACACTCCCCTTCACCTCCCCCCCCCACATGCCCACATTGGCACACGCTTACCGGTGCTGCTGGATGGCTCTGCATTCCCAGGGGCTGCACGGACGCCAGCTGCACCATGCACACCTGTTGAATAGGGTAATGTGCAGCGGTCGACTCAGCAGGCGTTGTAGCTGTATATGAACAGGTTTGGCGGTTGATATACATTCATGAACCAATTGCATTCGCCAGGATACGAAATGGCATCATTGAGCTTGCTTACGAACTGAAATTTGCTGGCTAATGTGGGCTCGTGGCAGACGAAGGGACCTGCTCCTCACACGGCCCTGACTGGACCTATACCACCCCTTGGCTCTTGCTTACCACGTAATCGCTGACCGACACCCGTCGCCCAAAATTGTGCGGCATCTTCATCTGCAGGTGCGTATGCAGGCTTGGTTGAATGTTTGAATGTTGTGATGCAAGCGCCCGTTCATGTCGCGGTCGGCAAGCCGGCCACAGCGTACCAGATATGTTGGCGATGTCGAAGAGACGCTGCACCTCGGTACCTGAGCGCAATGCGTACGCTGCTTGACCGCGCCGACCAAAACTACATGTTCCCAGCTGAAGATATGCCCGGTGGTTATTCAGCAGGCTTCGAGCTTGCTGCTGGCTCAATTCCATTCGTAGTTGCTGCAAGACGGCTAACGCAGGCACGGCCGAATGCGCTGCGAAAAGCTGTTCCAAGCTCTCAGCGGCATCCATTTCACTTGCAAGGTTCTGAACGTCTCTCGCGATTCTTATTTTTACATAATTCTGTGCTTGTTTATTTATTTCGTAGGAGTGTAACTTGAGTATTCGGAACAATGAGAATTATGCGCTGCGCTACCGAAAGCAGGCGCCTTATGGCTTGCACACAACTGCTTCTTCGCCAGCGCTTCATCTTCCGCCAGCGCTTCATCTTCCGCGGCAGTTTCACGAGCCCAGAGTTGCAAGCTACGACGTTGCCTTTACTGCAATGCATCGACGCAATAGTCCAGCGTGCGGCTATGGCCAACATGCTCACCTGCGCAACGCGCTGGCGCACCTGGTCCTCATCCGCCAAGAAATTTTATATACATTTGTACAGGCGCATTTTGCGAATCGCACGCGCGCATCTGCGCGGCAAAATTCGCTCCTGACTTTTGGGACGAGATGTACGGATTCTCTATTCGCGAAGTACGACCGGACACATTTGTGCGAGGGGCTGCTTAAATATTCAATGGCGCCTTTGGATCATTAGGTGTTGGCAGTCCTAGCCTTGAGTTCGCCGGGCTGCAGGTTTAGGATTGAACAGCTCAGCGAGACCCTGATTGGTACAACCTGTGTCCTATTCGGACGTATGCGGCTGGTGAAAGCAACAAAGCCGCTGTCGCCTATTATGGCAACTCAAAGCCCGTGCCCGTTCACAGCCCTTAGCTAGCCACTATGCCAGGTTGTGAACAGCTCAAACAAACTCAAACCGTGGTGAGACAAGGGCAGCTCACCGCGGAGTGATCCCAAAAGGCATTCAATTCCTTACCTGCTGCCCCACTTTGGGTTCGATTACGACAAAAAAATTTGAATTTTGCGCCATGAAATATTGGATCCTGATACAGTATTGAATCCAATAGTGTTAAGACCAGCAAAGCGCCGGACCCCCGTTGGGTCCTATTACTGTGGCTACCATTCGCTGGTACATGAGTGTCGGTCATTTCCAACAATTAGAATTGTCAGAGTTTGCTGTGAACCATTTCAGATGGAGTTTTTTTAAACCAAAGCTGCGAACTCAAGTCCTTTGTCGGGCTCCATCAGGCGCCACAATATTTTTTTGACAGAGCTACACTGATGAGTTGCTTGACAATGATCGTAGTAGATATTATAAAATGCGACGCTGCCAAGCTTAACGCGCTTCGCCGTACTGCCGTACCCAAGCTCCAGCCTTGATTGCCGCCTTATTAGGGTTTCAGTAAGGAGTTCCGTTGAGTTTAGTGGACATGTAGTTTACATGAGATATCGTTAAACGTTACAAAGGTTACCTGCACGCAATTGAAAAAGCCTTCTTTCGGCAGGTAGGCCGTGTGTGGGCCACCTACCGCTAGGCAAACCATTGGGCCTGGACACCTAACGCCTCACAGCAGCGACCTCCTATGTAGCTACGACACCCGAAAAATACTCTAACACACCAGAGCGACCTCCTTAACTGGCATTACATGCCGTACCAACCAGTGTTCGACACCCCGTACGGGGCCCGTAAGTTTTTGGCCTTTTTTCGGTATCCCCGTCAGGGCCCGTAGGACTTTTCGGTGGCTCCCGTAAGGATTTTGGGGCGCGAAGCGCCCCCGTACGGGGCCGCCCCCGGACCGGCCGAAGGCCGGTTACGGGGGCCCCCGTAAGGATTTTAAGGATTTATAAGAGGCCGTACGGGGCCCGTAAAGTCCCCCGTAGGGGAGAGGACGGACCGATTGCCGACTGCCGTGCAAGATTGTAGTACCCTTTGACCATATAAAGGATAAGGGGTATTACGGAGAGGATGATAATGAGGAGGTTGCGACTGACCCAGAGATTGAATTACTGGTACAAGCAACATACCCCGCTAGTGACGATGAGGCTTTTAGTGACAGTGACTACGAGACCGACGTAGAACGAGATACCGATGAGTCGTGCGCGGACGAGGATTTTGGTGATGATGATGAGGACGAGGATGAGGAGGACGAGAAAGAGGAGCAGAAGGGATGGGCGGCCGCGGCGGCCAAGGCGCTTGGCTTTCACTGAGTGTGCCGCGTCCCCGAGTGTAATGGTTCACGAGAAAATAACGAAAATAACGATTTACAGGGCAAAAAAATGCAAAGCGTCACTTTCCACAGCGTTTCAGCCAAGGACAGTGCCCCCGTAAAGGTTTTGCGGGGTTACGGGGGCCCCCGTAAGGTTTTCGGCCGGTACAGGAGCCTGGTACGGGGGCCCCTCCGTAAGGAAAATTTGGGAGGTACAGGGGAGCCCGCAAGTTTCAGGAAGGTCAGTGTCGAACCCTGGTACCAACACACACAACCAACTCTTCTGAGTTCACAGAAAACCTCGGTTTTCTATCGTTACTCTCAGAAAACCTTCAGATTTATTATCCTCGTGCCAACCCCGCCTGTGACTCTTTGAATCATCATCAGGATGGCTCGGTATACCGGTCTGTTAGGTATTTGGGGGGGCTTGCTTTGCATATGCATGCTAGGACACAAGGTCGGGGAGAGCAATTTCTTGGACTGCCCCGGTCGCAGCACAGTTCCTGTGCTTCCCTAATTCGACACCCCGACAGCCCCGACAGGCCAATTCTGACTGTCCGAATGTCCCTGCCGGGCCAATTCGACACCCCGACAGGCTAATTCTGACTGTCGGAATGTCCCTGCCAGGCCAATTCGACACCCCGACAGGCTAATTCTGACTGTCGGAATGTCCCTGCCAGGCCAATTCGACACCCCGACAGGCTAATCCTGACTGTCGGAATGTCCCTGCCAGGCCAATTCGACACCCCGACAGGCTAATCCTGACTGTCGGAATGCCCCTGCCAGGCCAATTCGACACCCCGACAGGCTAATTCTGACTGTCGGAATGTCCCTGCCAGGCCAATTCGACACCCCGACAGGCCAATTCTGACTGTCGGAATGTCCCTGCCGGGCCAATTCGACACCCCAACAGGCTAATTCTGACTGTCGGAATGTCCCTGCTAGGCCAATTCGTGTCCCTGTCAGGCCAATTCAAGGGCCTGTCCCAGCAATTTAACTTGTCCCGGGTGTAGCCCCCGTGCCAATTTAAACCCTTGTACTGAGCAAAATCGACCAATTGCGGGGTCGGCCCGGAAACTCTCAGGCAGGCATCCAGGAAAGCGGGAGTTGAAAGAGCTGTATGAAACTCCGTAAGGGGAGCACTTACAAGTATCTCTCGTATGTACTGTGTTGGTTTCGATTCCGTGATGGGCCAGGAAGTGGCAGGAACCCCACACGCCTGGCTACCGTACACCGTACTCCGTACTCACTCATTCATACATTCATTGTGTGTGTATGTTCAACGGAAAGATACCACCACCCGAACCGACCCGAACCAGAGGCGTATGTGCATGGCAAGCCGCTCACAATGGAAAACCCCTTTCATTCGCCCATTCATTCGTTCATTCATTCATTCGTCAAATCATTCATATGGACGACGAGATGTAAACACGCGTCCTGCCCTGCACTGTGGTGTGGCCCGGCACAGTGTAACACCCCATTCATTCAGTATAAGGAGGTCTCCCTTTCAGGTGCTTTTGATTCGACGCCCGGACTTCGATCGGTGCTGCCCGAGCCCAATGGTCCCTGCATGCTTCATGACCCGCGCTGTGTGAATCCAACGCAAGGACGCAGTGGCGAGTGCCCATCGTGCTTGGGTCACCTGCCCATCGGTACGCAGCAGCTCACAGCGGCAGCAGCCGCTGGAGGTCGATTTGCAGGGGGTCGATTTGCTCGCTGGAGGTCGATTTGCTCGCTGCTGCGGGCATCAGAGGCGTCGCAGGCGGCTCCGCCTTCCGTGAAGCCATAAGGCGATTTTTTAGTTTAGTATAGTTTAAAATGAAGCCATATGGCGCAGTTTCTTTTGATGTTCGAATGCAGAGGCTGAACGGGATTGTCAATCCGTATTGAGCGCTCCTAGATACAGATGCTTACTCAAATCTTTTTTGGATGGGCTTGGATGGGCTTAGTTGGGCTCTTGATACTTTAAAACTCATAAACGTACGTGGCGCTGTGGTGGCTCTGTACGTTTCTGTAGTAGGGTGTAGTTTACCTTCGCCCGTTTGAGCTGTGCCTTCAGACGAAAAGCCAGTCCAAGCAGGGCAAGCTCGTCGGTTGCAGCGATTTAGCTGTTTTATCATTCTACCGCGAGCACCACGTTTTTAAAGATCACGTTAACAAATACCATACGGGCGCGCCGTTGAGGCGCTACGTACTTCAAATCCGTTAGAATGCGGCTTCAGGTTTGCGTAGTTGTAGTTGGAACGGGACGAGCATCCTTCAGTTGCAACTAGCAAAAGGATTCTGGTAGCTGTAGCCTTTATGTTTGTTGTGATTGTTACAGTGGGCTCCGGACTCGTGACTTCTTCTTACTGTCAGCCAGGCACCGGTAGCATAAGATAATGCCTACTAGTACAGCTAGGGTTCATCAGTGTAAGGATCAGGATTCGAGTGGATTGGACAGGATTGGACAGGATTGGACAGGATTGGACAGGATCGGACAGGATTGGACAGGATTGGACAGGATTGGACAGGATTGGACAGGATTGGACAGGTTTGGATAGGGTTGGACAGGGTTGGACAGGGTTGGACAGGGTTGGAGTGGGGAAATCCCCAAGTTTTGGAACAAGGAACCAACCACAAATGGTGGTGCTGCTGCTGTAACGTAAACGATACGCAATCGCAGCCTCCGACCTGAGTGTGTACTTCACAGTCTGCAGTCAGCTGCAGTCATCAGCTGAATTCAGTCTTTGGCTAAAAATCGAGCTTGATATGGATTCGGGAGCGCACATTTAGCTCCGGATATTTAAGTTATAATCAAAGCTTGGAGGTGGTTCGCTTGGAGAGGATAATAAACGTGCCGGAGCTTGTCAGAGCCATCCTTTGCGTCGCCAACTCCCTGCCAGCTAGACGCCGCCAGACGCAAGACCCAGCCAAACGCCACGCACTTCTTTTCTCCGTGCCAGGTGATTCAAAATAGGACGATGATGTGGTGTTGCATGAAATTTTAGTCATATTTTAGTGCTCAGGCCAAGGTTACGTTCTGTTGATGTGTGGGTGAAAGTCCTGCGTTGCCAGTGCTGCCTTTTTCTCAGGGATAGTCCCTGGGCAGCCTAAGGACGAAGGACTTTGTGCTAGGTGGCGCAGGTCTCGCTCTGGCGCAAAACGGGGCTTCAACTGGACAGCAACTGGTATTTTCAGGTTGCGTTGGCTCTGGGCAAAGAACTTCCACACATCTCGGTTAGGAAACCTTCTCGTTTACAGTTACAGCTTATTTCATTATATCTGTTTCGTAATAAGTCACACTTTGTTAGTTTTAGAAGTAATCACAGCGCATTTGCTAACTTTAGCCAGAGCTTTGCTGGCGATATCCAATACGGCAAGAGTGGGATGTATATTAGTAGTCCTGCTCATTGGTGCTCGGATCTCGTAATATTATACTATCCAGTTATCTGCTTCCGTGACCTTTCCGGAATCGAAGGGCTCATGTTCTCCGTGGTAGGCGTAGGAAAAGCAGCTGGAACTTCCTCCAGTCACCAGCTGAAGCCATCTCCTTACAACAAGTGTAGCTTCATGTGCGGACATCACGTCTGATGCTTACTTCCAGCTTCTCATGTTATGTACCACCCTACGTCGGTTTCAACCAATTGTACAGCATTACATACATACACTACCATGCCCAGAGGTACGAGCCTAATCCTACGAATATATAAGTTTCATGGAGCTCCAAATATCTTACAGTCGGGTTTAAAGGGAGCTGCCTTATGCTTGCAGTCGTGGCGCAGTACAAGGAAATTGCAGCCATGAAATGACTGCTTCGCGCTGTTATTGGACAATGATGATTTAAGCTAAAACTATTTCCATATGTCTGCATGCATGAAAATGCGTCAACAATACAAACGCATAATGCCAGCAGAATAATACGTTATCATAAGCTTAAGTCCCTTTGGTTCTGCTCTGAGGATGGCTGTGTTAAACCCTCTTTAGGTGGTATCATCAAGGTGTACAGCGCTTGCCACCTCGGCGGGGTTGTTTTGGCAAGGCGTCCGTTTTGGACTCTGGCCAAGCTCAGCTTCGCTGTATTCGTCAGGCATCTGTTGTGCAGTACTCTTTATGCGCATCTTTTGAATCTGCCCTGAGACCTCCTTTAGCCTGAGATAGCCTTTCGTGTGGTGCTATGGTTACGCTTTGCTGGAGGGCAGCGCCAGAATCTGTTAGTGAGGTAGGTGTCAATACTAATGGTACTGATTATTTCCATCCTTAATGTTCATCCACAGTGCGTAGTGAAGTGAATTTCCTTTTTAAGGTTGTGACTTCACCGAAAGCTTTGGAAACGACTTTCTGCAGGTTGAAAAAGTAGAGGAATTTCGCTATAATGTTGCGTCTATTGCGACGCACTGGCCAGCGTTTTGGGATGCGTACGCGGAAAAACTGGTGACTTCTTGTGGCTCTGGTGCAGCCCTAGTCGGGTGAGAAGGGGCCCACCGTGGTAAACACTGCTGTTAGAGAAACGCTTCTGAGGCTACGGACCCGGATGGTGCACCCAATCGGCGTTCTAGCTATGGCGGCATTGCCGCACTTGAGCCGTGTGCCGTCGAGTTGCTGACGGTACTTTTTGAGGATATTGGTCACAGCAAGGTCTTCTCAGCACTCTTCCCTCGGTAACTCTTTGTGGTACCAACAGAGCAACCTGTCCTTGTTACCCCTGAACGCAGGATACTTGGTGCATCATCCAACAAAGCAACGCTCACTGTCCTCGGCAGTTGGGGCCCGGATGCTGCTGCTCTTCGCCCTGGAAGCGTGTTGCCCTGGCCGTGGAGATTTCTGCCAGGGAACAGTTCCCTACAACAAAAATCTAAAAGTCACCGAAACGCTCCAGAAAAGCTGTCCCTTGGGAAAGGGCCTTCGGATCTGCCCAAAACTCTCACCTGGGAGGTACGTGTATTCCTTGAAGCAATATATACCTTCTTAACGAATACCGGTATCCAGATCTGGATATCCGTACACGGATCCATCACCCACAAACATTGTAAAAAGGGTACTTGCACCGTTGCATATCAATGCTTCTCCATCCAACAGACCTTCCAACAGACCTTCCCTTTTATTCATATCATTGTTCCATGTTACGACGGTACCTGCATAAAGACTTTGTTCCAGCCGTTTATCGCGAGCTCCGGGAATGCCGTACAACTATGCGTAATCCGCACAAACCACGTGACCCACATCTCCATCGGTTTCAATCTTCTACCCCATCTGCATCTGGCACCGCTTTGCATGTTCACCCACAGCTGCATTCCCTACTGCTGCTCTTAGTACCCATAACCACGCCTCCAAACCGCCGCGCCCCTGTCCGCTAACTTCAGAGTGGCAGCCAGCTTCACCTTCCTTACGAGTGGCACCAGCTTCTTGGCCAGAATCTTTTCCCCGGCAGCCCGACGTTGCATGCCCAGTTGGAGCCTCTGGTGCTGTGCGGGCGACCGGTGGGGGCGCTGCTGCTGGTCGGCTACGGGGACCTGCGGCTGCGCTCCTCGCCCTCCGCAGCGCCCCTCGCAGCCCGGGGCAAGGAAGCAGGAGAGAAGACGCAGGGCGCCACGTCAGCAGCAGCCGCCCTGCTGCGCCGGCTGGTGCGGAAGAAGTCGTCCCCGCAGGGTGCTAAGGGCTCGGCTGCGGTTGTGATGGGCCCTGCACCGCCGTGTGGCAGGGCCGGGGCCGCCACCAGCACGCGGCCTGTTTCCCCCGCGGTGTTGCGGGGGCTGGCCAGCTCGCTAGCCCAGCTGGCGTTTGGCCCGCACCTGCAGTCCGTGTCCCGGGTGAGACCGGGGCAGCCGCTGCTTATTCCACCGCCGGGGCTTCACGTTGGGTTACGTTACGAGGGGGTTGTGCTGTCCCGTGTTTTGGGGGATCGGGGATTTGGCGCTCACTGCCCGTTGCCACTGACGTTGCCTAATGGGGCACGCGACGCCATGGGGCTCAGTCCCCGCACTCCACATCCCCCCACTTCACTTCTCTCCATTCAACCCCATTCCCCAAAACCTTCTAAAAACTCTCTCCGGCCCCGGTGCGGTGATGCCCTTGAACCCTCGGCACTCACAGATTTGCTCCGCGACCCAAGCCCTCATCGCCGCCTCGTCCGTGTACGACTTTTCTTCCGTACTTTCCAGCACCATTTCAGAGATCTTGGCGGCGGAGCTTCACGTCAATCTCACTGTACGAGTGGCCGTCGTACTGGCTGTAAACGGCCAGCACGGCTACCTGCTGCCGCTGGAGTCTGCTCCCACCTTGGTCTCAATGCCTATGTCGTTCCTACCAGAGGGCTCGGGGACCGGCCACAGGGAGGCGCCATTTAAACGGGCCGTGTCCAGTATCGTGACAGGCGCTGGCTTGTCCACCTCTGCGCGCACTTTTAGAGCCAGCGGGCGCGCGGGCAGCTTTTCCGGTCATGTGCCGCTTTCCGCCTCCAACATAATGTTGTCAGCGCCTGGCGGAGCGTTGACGATGAGCAAGGCGGATGCAGGCAAGGTGAGCTTTGATGGCGGACGGTTTTCCGTGTCTGTGTTGTGGGCGGGCATTGTGAGTCATGCCTTCCCCACCCCGATGATGTGGCTTGGGTGCAGGGGAGGGTGGAGGGGAGGGTGGAGGCGAGAGGGTGGAGGGGAGGGTGGAGGCGAGAGTGGAGGGGAGTCGTTGGATCCTTTCCTTACAGAGATAAACCGCCCCCTAAACAACGACCTTAACGACCTTAACAACCTCCTTGATTCGCTCGTCCTCTCCTCGCGCAGGTCACCGCCTTCTCACTCCCATCCTCCCTGCTGCTACAGCTGCTAAGACCCAGCAACGGAAACCGCCTAGGCAACGGTTCCGTACATGCAGGCGCAACCGCCAATGGTAACGGCCACGTTAGTTACCATCCAGAGGAGCCCACCGTACGAGGCATTGTCACCACCGGCAAGGCTTACGCTGACGCCGACGCTGCCGTCAGCTGTAAGGCAGCGGTGGCCTCGACCGCCACGGCCACTTCCGTTTCCGGCATGGTTATTTCCAATCTCCACGAGTGGATGCAGGACGTGGAGCGCCCCTCCTCGGACGTGGCCGTGTTGATGATGGCGGCGGCGCGGAGCCGGGGGAATCAGATGGGACCTGGGCGGCCGTNGCAAGGGGGGGCAGGGGGAGGGGTGCCGGGGGGGGGGCCCGCGTGTCTGGTGGCGGTGGCGGGATGTGTACCGCCGCGGCCGACGGCCGCCGTCACCGCCAATGGAAGCCTGCATACCGGTTTGCAATCTATTAAGTTAAACGACGAAGCATGGGTGCGAAGTCTGGACTCCTCGCAACGTCGCGGCGTCGCCAACGGCGGAGTCAGTGCGGAGATGTCGGCGCACCGCGGCGCGCACGGCAGCGGGTACGGCGGCGGCAGTGTTCGGTACGACAACGGCGGCGGCGGTGTAGGTTGCGGCCCGTGCGTTGCCTTATACATCACGGCCCAGGAGCGGCTTCCCACTTCGCTGTTGAGGGTGATCAAAGCACAGGCGACGGGGCTGTTGGAGGTGAGATTGAGACTGTGTTGGGAGGCGAGAAGGGAAGGGAAGGCGGCGTGTGTTTTCCGGGCCCGGGGAAAAAGATGTCTTCAAGGTGAAAGTCAATGGAGGACAAGGAGCAGGGTGAAAGCGCCTTAGGAGGACGAGGCGAACGAAAGCCTCCAATTAAGCAACTTGTCTTCTCTCCGTTTAGGACTTGGCCTCGTTAGCTATCTCACGTATGCTCCTTTTCGTTTTGGCATCGCCAGACGCCCTTTTTTTCCTCCCCAACCCAACCCGCGCCAAATCCGACACACCGAGTGTTCACTACAACAACAGTGAACACGTATGCCTGCCTAGCTAGGTTTCGCTACCTAAGGACGCAAGTTTGATATCTTTTTCTGTAATTTTGGATTCAAAGATCCGTGTGCTTCTCCTCTTCCGTTTTTCCCCGTATGTGTGTAGTTGCTGATGCCAACATGCTTGAGCTATCTGGCCATGGGTGTGTTGCGACCGGAGGTTGACCTGCTCGCTGCTGCCGCCGGCAGCAGTGTCGCTGGCGGCGGAGGCGGCGGAGGTTCCGGCTTCACTGCCCCTAACGCCCGACGGCTGCTTGCGGCGATGGGATCTGGATCCGGAATGACGGCATCGGTGGCGGCGGCGTCGGCGGTGACGGGCACGCCCAGCGCCAGCGCTTGTGCGACGCCGCTGCCGTCGACACACATATCCGGTAGCCAGCTTCAGTTNCGCAACTTCAGTTTCAGATGCAACTTGTCATGGCGGGGCGGGCCAGCGTCGGAAGCTCTGGTCC